CCCCCCCCCCCCCTCGAAAACCTCCCAAATAAGAAAATGGGTACGTAGGTGTCGGATTTTTTTTTTTCGGGCGCCCTTGCTCGACATGTCTTCAACCCCTAGTTGCGCACAGAGCCTCGGCGAGGCACGACTGACCTAGCAGAGTGACGAAGGAACACCAGACAACCGAAGCACCTCCCGGTGAACACCAAACAAGACCTACTCCGCAGTCCGCAGTGTCCATCACCGTGACCCGTGAAATGTTTTTCGGGGTTCCTACCTCGCTGTGGCTTCTTATCTTCTCCCCGGTGGGCATGCGTTCTCGACCACCGCACCGGTTGCCGTGGAAATTTCCTGGAAAACCGAACAGCTTGTTGCCTTGAGCCTGCCAGGCATTGGCCGGGGCATCGTCAGGAAGAGCAGAATTCCACGAAAGCCAGGAGGTTCGGCGTCTCGCGTTCTTGTTGCCACATTCAGACCGTGATAGACAGTGGCTGCTGGACTCGTTGTGTAGCAGGCGCTTCTGTGCGTTCATCGAGCGGGAAAATATTGTTGGAGCGAGGGGGGATCGCTCCTCTCAACGACGCGCACTTCGTTCTTAGCTTTTTTGGGTTCGCTTTCTTTGCACCGGCGATGAATTGACGATAATGGTTCGGAGGTGATGCGTGTTGTACTTCCTTGGGACAGACCCTGGGAGCAGACGACTGTATGAATCGTTGTTCGCCGGGCTAATGGTTGAAGCTGTTTCGTGTCGAACATCCTCGAGACAGACCGCGAGAGCAAGCGACTGTATGAGTCGTTGTTCGTCGGGCTGTCCCTCGCCGAGGGCAAGAGCCTATCCAAGGCAGAGAGGAGGAGGAAGGGCCTCATGGACAACAGGGCACTCATCTACGGAGAGGTAAGCGGGCTTTGCCGGCAGAAATCGCATAATCACGGGCCGATGCATCGAACAAGTTGTGCGCGCATTTACGAAGCACTCTTTGGGCGGGTGATCACAGTACTTTGTTAAGGCTTGCTAATACAACGAGGTATTCTTGCTGAGGATCAGCTACTTGTGGGTGAAGATTGTGCTTACTTTGTCGAGTTCACACGATGTGATAGGGGCACTATCCCACTGCAGACCTCGGAGGGGGAATGCCGAAGATATTTCTTCACCTCATCCTCGCAGAGATCTTCGCTGCACACCTGAGTTTGAGGAGGGCGCTTGGCGGTCATGTTGGACGTAGTTTGCGGCAAAAAAGAGATATTCGCAGCGAGCACCATTTTTTTGTGTTGTGAAGGTCATTGTAAGAGTTAAATCATCCTCAACAATTGCGGCAAGCATCGACGACACCAACGATGACCAAAGTGACACCTGTGACAACGCCAACATGACGTATTTCGATGCATGCCGACTCTTGCAGGTGGATTTCGCGAGCTTTGCGACGATCCTGCGGGAGATAGGCGCATTGACGGAGACCAAAATTGGGGAGATTTTCTACGACTTAGGAAGCGGTACTGGAAAAGCGCTGTATGTGGTGAGAAGCGTTGCCGTATGCATGGGTTTTTCCTGTTTCGTTGATGGTATTTTTTTGTTCAAGGTAGTCGTTTTGACGTAATTGCTGTTCACTCACCAAGCCTGTGCGTTTGGTTCAACCTGGGGTGAACGGCAGCCAAGATGACACGTAGGTACGCGAGATCAGGATTCGATTGATGGTGGACTGATATTGTTCTCTTTTCAAAGGGTATGGCGCTAAAAATACCACGCACAGGCCATAGGTCCAGGTAAGGAGGAGCATGAGGACAACATGTGCATAGCCAACTGCGCTTAGCCAACTCCAACTGCTCTTCTCCGACCGTTCTCGATACTCCATGATGTTTTGACGTGCCCCCCTTCTAGGCCCGTCTAACACAAGATTTCACTCACTGCGTCGGCATCGAGATCCTCCAACCGTTGCACACTGCGGCGCAGCTCGTCACGAACCGGTTCAACGCCCACGTTAAACGGCTTCTCGACCGACGATGCCCGCAGGTGCTTGGGCTATTTGTACCGGTCGTTGCTGTTGCTGTTGACTGCCTCTGTTGGCTTGTAGGTGGTCACGTGTGTCTGTGCAAGGCCCTGACACTGTTGTCGCACTACAGTAGCGGGGCGCAGCATCTCTAAATTGAAGAAGGTTCTCGACCCGGAGCGAATCACACGAGGTCTACTGCTACCGAACCTTTTGTCGATATTTCCCGTTTGGCGTCCTTTTATCGGTTTTGTCCCGGTGGACAAGCCGGAGACCGATGCAGAATCCATGCGATGCGTCCTTGAAAATCGCTAGCTGAGATACCTTCCAGTCCCATCCTCATCTGCATTCACACACCCAAGTTCTTGGTAAAGAAGCCACCCGCTGGGATTGCATTACTACAGGAGGACCACATTTTGGGGTGTGAGACAGCTGTACGCCCAGCGAAGTGAACAGTCTATTGGGGATGTTTCGGGCAGGCAATCGCAATACGAACGTAGAAGGGTAGAATTTTTCGCAGCGATAAGACGCCTTTGTTCTTGAACTCAACCGACCTCTTCTGTGCTTCTTCGGCGGCGCACGACTGTATGTGTGTGTTGTTTGCGTGGGCCTTGAAACACAGAACGCCAGTGTCTTCGCCGGATCGTTCTTGGAGTACGACTGGTCCGACGGAGACTGCGTGTTTGCCAACAGCACGTGCTTTCCGGAGGACCTCATGGATGCACTCGCTCGTCAGGTGGGCAACCAGTCGTTTTCCTCGTGCTCAGCCTTTGATTTCATCTTACATTTGTAGCCCATGGTCGCTTTTGTTCATTCCCGCCGCAGTAGACCTCAGAATCTGGACCCCGAACCAGCACAGCAAACGCATCACCAAGATTCATTTATTTTTTGTGAAAAGCGACGACCGGAAGGGCTTCGAGCTTGGGCAGGTTTTTCATGCGCACAAACGTATGTTGTTGTGTTTAGAAATACCCTTTGGGTTGGATCTCTCCCGTTGGCACTGCAAAGTGGTACCGAACTATCACTCAACCAGTAAGCTGAGGCTACAAGTATTTTGACCCGACATCCTTTTGGCCCAGCGTACTGCACTACGAGGAGGTAACCGGCGGTGCACAGCGAACGAGTGAACGTATGCATCAGAGTTGCCGATTTGTTCTGAGACGTTTTCGCTGAGGCGGGGGCTTGTATTCCAGAGATTGCGGAATGGTCTGGTGTTTATCTTCTCACTTTGTTCGGGTTGAATCGGTGGCACCACATCCGCACGAGTGGTCGTGTTGGCGCTTGTTGCAAATCCGAAGCATCAGAGTACATACACATGATGTGTCGTATCCGAGAACAGCGAAGAGTAAACTTGCTGTCCGTGACCGCCATTGACAACGCGCCTAGTAGGAGGTGGCAGCGCAGGCTAACTTATCTCCAGTTCCAGACACCCGAAAAGCACTCGCGAACGTCTGGGGCAGGCAGACATCGCGACAAGTCTCGTGGGTGTGGCTATTTTTGGAGGAAGAAGAGAGAAAAGAGAGTGCAAAACGTCGTGTAGGACCGTTTCGTAGAACGGACAGCGCAAGGCAAGGTCGCTAGCACGACTGGATGACGAGGTTGACCCATCGCGATATACGTTGGCAACATGAATCCCGGTGCTGCAAAACGCAAGCTTTCTTTTGAACATGAGTGTATTTTCAAGCAGATGCAGGCTCTTTATAACATGAAAGTACATTTGCATGTTGTACTTTGTGCCCGCACAATTACGTGCTGCGCGCGTTTCCGGCTTGCCCGTTTGTCTGAGTACAGGCGGAGGAGCTAAAGCCAGGGTCCATCGTGGTAACCTTCACGAAAGGGCTAGATTCCACAGCTTTCGAGGTCCTCAGCAAGAGGCGCTTCGAAATGAGCTGGGGTGAGTGACGGTACCATGAAATTATGTTGCAGCAATAGCACTGCTTGACCGCCTACTCCGCTTCATTCACCCCTCCTGAAGTCCAGAGATGTGGGTCCCCCCCGAACCGAAACTTAAACTTCGTCGGTAATAACTTCCGCCTGGGACACGTGGTGATGTACAAGGCATGACGTTTGCCGTTTCACCCTTGCCTTTTGTTGGATCAGAGTATTTACTGTCTTGTGCAGCGACACGACCTCTACGCAAAACAGTAGTCGCTTCTGGAGCTTAGGTCTGTTCTCTCCAAGGGTCGAGCCACGGTACGTGTTTGACCGCAGGCAACCTGTGTTCATGATTGAGGATACTAAAACGGCACACGCGGTTGTGCTCGCTTGCCTGCCTGCCTGCCTGTCTGCCTGCGTGCCTTTACGTCCCTCCCTGTCTATCTCCATTAATCTCTAGATCATGTTGTGCGGGGTGGATGACCCTCACTCCGCGCAAGGGGGATGATCGCACCACGTTGTGTTAAATTGGTCAAGCACCCTCGAGGCAGTTACACAGTGCTTACAACTGTCTCTGGAAGTGAAAGCACCAGAAAATAAATTAAGTCATACGCAGCTGTCATCCGTACGCAAGGAAGTAAGCACAAGATGCCTCACACCCTTCGCAGGATGCATCACACCCTTCATGCGACTCGCCGAATATCTCACGGCGCTNTAACTGTCTCAGTAAGTGAAACACCAGAAAATAAAATAAGTCATACGCAGCTGTCATCCGTACGCAAGGAAGTAAGCACAAGATGCCGAAAACCCTTAGCAGGATGCAGCGCACCCTTCATGCGACTCGCCGAATATCTCACGGCGCTTCGCGCTTGGTGATGTGAGAGCCTGGTCCGGTGAGAACCCGGCGTGCTCCGTCCCGGCTTTGTAGGGATGCGAGGTCAATGGTCTAACGACTACGGCATGCACGACTATGCGTACCCCCCCCACACACTCCCTTTCCCCTCTAGACATAAGTGGGTTGGCGCTGTTGGCAAAGCGCTGTAAAACACGCCACCCCAAATATAGCCCCATAGTATGCGCTAACAAAGACGCGTGACGCATGGACGAGTGGAGTTAGGATAGCTGTTTATGGAAACCTCACAGGTTGAGTAATGTATGAGATTGCCAGACACAGACGTGTTGAGTGATTAAAGCTGCATCCTGAAACCTCACGGGTTGAGTGAAGCTTGAGATTACCAGACACTGGACGCGTTGAGTGGGGATAGCTGCATACTGGAACTCCACCGGTTGAGTGATGTTGGAGTGCCGGACACACAGACGCATTGAGTGACGATAGACACACCCCTATCCTCACAGGTGATTTGTGGTGGAGATTTCCGGACACATAGACGTGTTGAGTGAGGATAGCTGCATACTGAAACCTCACATACGGATTGTTTTTTTGAGTTTGCCAGACACATAGACACGTTGAGTGGGGATATCTTCATTCTGAAAACCCACGGGTTGAGTGATGTTGGAGTGCCGGACACATTGACGCATTGAGTGAGGATAGCTGCATACTGTAACCTCACAGATGGATTGGTTTTTGAGTTTGCCAGACACATCGACGCGCTGAGTGAGGATACATACTGAAACCTCACGAATTGAGTGATATTGGAAATTACCAGGCACATAGACGCTTTGAGTGAGGATAGCTGCATACTGAGACCTGACGGGTTGAGTGACTTTTTCGATTGCCGGACACACAGACGCATTGAGTGAGGAAAGCTACATACAAATCAACCTCACAGGTTGATTTGTATTGGAGATTGCCGGACACATCGACGCGTTGAGTGAGGATAGCTATTCACTGAAAATCCACAGTAGCTATAGTGAGGGGACGATTCGAGAATGCAGTACACATAGACCCGACCCCCAACCCGTACCCGTACCCCCCCCCCCTCAAAAAATGAGGCCATGCGCCCCCCCCCTCTCTACCTCCCCAAGAGGATGAGGAGGGTACAGTCCAAAGTAAGCACAACCTTGCCGAAGGGTTAATGCCTATTGGTACGGCATTAAAAAAAGTACTAAAGTCCCCCATTGGGCGGTGGAGGACTAAGAGCTAAATAAGACACCCCAAAACTCTCCGGCGTGAGATCCAAAATGGATCGGACGGTGGAAGGGGGGGGGG